TGAAGCTTGTGAAGCTCCTGAAGCTCCTGAAGCCTGTGGAGCTTTAGAAGCTTGTGAAGCTTGTGAAGCTCATGAAGCTCCTGAAGCTCCTGAAGCTCCTGGAGCTCGGCTGTAGAGTGGACTAATATAAATGATTATAGGATGAGACCAGAGCAGAGACTGGATCAATATCTAAACACTGTTGTCTCTTCCTCTACAACGTTCTCCTGGAATCATCAGCCCCATAACAACTGAACATGAACGTTAGATTTTTTATAGTATACACTGTAGTTTTATAACCCTGTTGGTTAGTAATATTTTATATGAAATACTGTATATGTTATGTATTTGACCTCGCTCTTCAACCCCCCCATGTGATTGTTTGGCCTTTGTCCGGCTCCGAGGTGTGAAATCAGTTCCTATGTAGAAGAAACAAGTTTAACATGCAACACTTTTAAATCCAGTGGAGGAGCCCCTCCTGAAGCCAGATTATTATTCATCGTTAACATTTAAAGTGTTATTTGTACTTGTGCTGCATAACTTTTCTACTAGAGCCTTCACTTTTAGTTTTTAATAATGTCAAACACTGTGTCTGTGACACCAAGTGCGACTTAAGCTGTCATCAAGTGTGAGAATGTAAAACCACTGATGCTTTATCTTCAAATGATGAAACTTCTCCTCTAACTTAGTTCAACATGTTGTAAAAAGGAAAGTCACTCTGTCACAACACAGATGAGTGAGATCGCTGACGTAGCCGAGTGTGAAACAGACCAGAGACCAGGAATCTTTGTTCTCTGATGAATTACAGTGTTTAAATACTGGTGACATGTTGTGGTCATTTCTGCTGCAGGATTATTGTGTACACACACGTAAACACACACACACACACACACACGTCATTATCACTCTCACACGACCATATAAGGTAAACACAGAGCTGTGAACTACACACAGTGTGAAGTGTGTGTAGTTCACTTCAAGATGTTTCCTTGGATATTAGACCATAACTGTGTGTGTGTGTTCTCTAAACTAGAATACATGAATGGCTAAGTGAGACTATTTATGGCAACGTGATGTGCACATACATGTACACACACACACACACAAAGGACCCAGATGGATCCACTCAGTAAAGTGAAAAGCAGCTTGAAGACAATGAGTCGATGTGAAAGAGAGAAGCTGCTCTTTTCCATCTGGAGTCAGTGAACAAAGCTCAAACCTGGAGGCCACTTAAACACAGAGACTGAGCTGCAGCCCGAGCACACGGACAGAATCAGAACCATCGGATTATTAGATATGGTCGATATTTTAAAAACTATTTCGGGTCTTTGTTGATGATCCAACACATTGAAGTGAGGCGCAGCAGCAACGTGTTAAGGACGAAGATCATTGTAAATAAATACTTTTAGATTTAATGGATGAGTCAAATGATGAGTAATGAATTCTACAGCTGTATGACAACATTTGTTTACCAAATTACCATAATATTTGATCACTTTATCTAAAAAAAAAAGGCTTTTTATTTCTGCAAATCTGTATTAATTTATTTAAAGGTACAGTGTGTAGAATTTAGTGACATCTAGAGGTTCAGTAGCATGTTGCAGCTGAACATTTAGGCCCAGCTTCATACTTCACACTTAAATAAAGCAGCAAATTCTTTTTCATTGAAAAAGATAAAAAACAAAACACTTGCATGGAAACATTTTTTAAATTAAATAATCGACAGTGTTTCCCAGCATGCAGTGGGACTGGGACCTAATATAAGCAGGTGTCTGATCAGTTCCGTCAGTGTTGAATCGTTGAGTGTTTGAGGGACTCACTGTTGTGCTCCTGCTCTTCCTCAACATTCCCCATCACCATGGCTGGAATCCCGAAAGCCGAAGCCAACACCCACACGCAGATGTTCACGACCTGAAGACAACATGACGGTGATTCACTTAATAATATTAGCAACATCTTCTACATTAACTTATAGATCAAATAACCCTCATGGTCTTTATCTGTTCAATATAATAATAATAGATTTTCATTCAGTTTAGTTTTAACATTTAAATCAATGTTAAATATTAACAGTTAAAAGTCTTTGGAATGAATCAAACCAGATCCTTTTGATTTCACTTTGACACATTTAATTAAAAATGATTTCCTGAACCTCCATCAGACTTGTTGTGCGAGCTTCAGATCACACACACTCACACACACACACTCACACAC